AGAGAGAGAGAGAGAGAGAGAGAGAGAGAGAGAGAGAAAAGAGAAAGAGAAATCATATAGTGCTTATCAAAACCAATCGCATATTTTGGAAAGACAAATTGGTTAGAAACACAAACCAGCAAATAAATTCTGCTCCTCTAAAGAGATCTGACCAATTTAAGGTCCTGATTATAAATTCTCTGGCCTTTTCCAGCAGGCACAATACCAAGGTGGTGTCTCAAAAGACAAACATACTTTTGTGGTAGATAACTGTTTTCTTGGCCTCTAAAGAACTGTGGCCACATTCCTTAAAGAAAATTGTGGCCTATTTGCCAGTTATTTTCTTTTTCCAGAGTAGGAAAATTTCCACCCTAAGGCACAGGAATTAAAGTTCCTAAAGGAAAAGTTATCTTCCTGAGGACCATCAGGTGGTATCTCAAATGCTCGCCTCTAATGACAATCTAGTTGTGACGAATCCTCTATATTACTCTGTAAAATCTGGGGTGTGTGTGTGTTGTGGGGGAGGTCYCAATACCTCCAAATACACAGCAGAATTTCACTGTGGTTTATATGAACACATCTGAATAAGTATCTCATTTCTTCATCCCTCTCATCTTTTGTATATTATCCCATTATTACTTACTCCCCTACTTAGCAAGCATTTATGAGGTCTCTACTCTGTATCTGACAGGGTACCTGCTAATGTGGTTGCAAAGATGATTTCTTCTTTTATTTCAACCCATACTATTCTATGAAGTACTGGGGACATGCAAACTTAAAGATTTCTGCTTGGAAAGGTTTACAGTCTTGTTTTCTTTGCCCATCCAGAGAGTCCATTCATAAAATTCACCTGTGATTTATGCAAGTTCTACTCTTGCTGTATAAATAGCCATCTTACTCAGAGTCAAGAGCACAGCTTGTAGTTCCTCTTGAATCGCTTTTCATAATGGAGCACTCCTGTCTGGTGTCAGGTCAACACATATGGACTCAGGCCAGGGCCACATGTGTTACACTTGTCTAAATATTGGAGTCTGTGATTACACAGGATGGACTGAGTTTATGTTTCTGCAAATCAGTGGCTCCTTTTCCTGTGACATAGCAAAAATGCATTGATATGCTAAAAGAGGCAAATGTAACAAAAATGAATGAGAAAAATCACTGAAAAAGTTGAAGTTCTGATATCATCATTTATCCTTATAATATTAAAAATTGGTAGACTTAGGAAACCTTCGTATCTTCAAAGATTTAAACCCTTAAAAAAGAGTTTTGTTCCATGTGCCATCGTTGGCTATTTGCTTACTGTTTTCTTCCATTTCGCTAATGGTGAGCTCTTTAGATGACTTTTGTTTGACTTATCTGAATATTAGTGTATGCATCTTTTTAAATGCAGAGATTTGGTATCAAAATTCTGAGCCTATTGTTGCAATCTGTGTATCTATAAGATATCTTACTGTGGTTTTGATCTTAAAGATGTTTGAGTTCACTTTTTAAATACAAATTCTAACTAGAATTTTTGTGTCTTAAGTTTAATTTTCCCAAAGCAGATATTAAAACAAGGACTAGAAAACAGGTAGTTGGTTTGAGAAGGSAGTAAGGAATAAAGACATAGGATTTTTTTTTGTTTATTTTCTTATCAAGGTAGCTGCTGCTATGGGCAGCTGGGGCTCCACCTGAGCAGGAAAATCAGAGGTACGGGGGCAAGCATGCCTGAGGGATAGGAAACTGTACTAGTTTTCATCTGGTTCCATTCATAAATGGCCAGAAGCATTAATCCCTCAGGTGGAGAATCAGGTGCTTGCTGTCTGGAAAGGTGGGTGCTGAGGTGGCTGTAGATCATTCTGCTGTGTAAACTCCATTATTCCAATTTAATTAGGCTATTAGTTTCCATATGGAGCAACAAACTCAGGGTCCTTCCTCTCCTTTTTGTTTTTTTTGGATGGTTTTGGGTTTTTTCTATTTTCATTTCTAYTTTATTACTAAAGTGAGCCAATTATAATTTCAACTGTTTTCTGCTGGTTGGCCCTTGTTTCTATGAAGCCCAGTTTTGTCACATCTGAATTTCACTCTGCAGATTTAGCTATTGTCGTTCCCATTTGTGTTGGATAGCTCCCACCAAGAATAAACATTGTAAATTAGGTTGAGAAAAGTGGGTAGTTTCACCTATATATACTAACCAATCACAGAGAAGCCCTGAAACAACTGTGAGTGTTATCCCTCCAAATACTMCAGAATCATCTACTGCTGTAAGCAAGCTTCACCTCTGACCTGATTGTTGAACTTTAGTAAATTTATACCATGGCCTTCTCCGTTTCCTCGTCTGAAAAACTGTACTAATGATAGAGACTTCCTAACTTCTGGTTAGGAATCAAAGTAAATTGTTTAGAAGAATTTTTTGTGGCAAATAAATGTTCAATCAATATGAGCTATTTATTATTATCACTTTGTGATTTAAGATTGTTAGAATATATGTCAGTTATTTCACCAACTGCTGACTGCTTTGCCAAAAGCAAACTCACCATCCACACTACCTATGAAGAACAAATGGTTGTATCCCTCTCCAGGGGTCATAATCCTGGCTTCATAGGGTTGTGGCTGGTAAGGGCTTCATAAGACACTATGCATAATGGACACTGAGAACTGCTTTGTGCCTTTTCCTCTTCTAGGAATGTGTACCTCTAGTTTGGAGGATAGGAAAAATGATGTCATGATGAATTTCTTAGGCACTTCTAGAAAGATGGTCTCCCTTAGTCCTGGAGGATTTGATATTAGTTGACTCTCCTGCCATATCTAGTTGTTTATCTGAAGCTCCAATACCCTTTCCAAAATGTCTTTTTTTTTCTTTTTTTTTATTGGTTGTTCACAACATTACAAAGCTCTTGACATTATCATATTTCATACATTAGAATCAAGTGGGTTATGAACTCCCATTTTTACCCCAAATACATATTGCAGAATCACATCGGTTACACATCCACATTTTTACATACTGCCATACTAGTGACTATTGTATTCTGCTACCTTTCCTATCCTCTACTATCCCCCCTCCCCTCCCCTTCCATCTTCTCTCTCTACCCCATCTACTATAATTCATTTCCCTCCATGTTTGTTATCCCATTCCTTCCAAAATGTCTTCAGAAAGGTTTGTTCRTTCCTGTTCAGTGGTTTCTACTCTGCAATCAGCACTTCAGGATGCTCACGTGTTACTTATGTTTCTGAGCTTAGCACAGGTTGAGTAGCCCTGATCAGAAGTGTTTAGGATTCCCAGCTTGGGGAGGTGTTGGAATATTTCATATACATAATGAGATATCTTGGGGATGGGAACCCAGTCTAAACATGATATTGGTTTATATTTTTTATATACATCTTATACACCTAACCTGAAGGTAACTTCATAAAATATCTGTGATCATTTTGTGCATGAAACAAAGAATCGTAGTGTGGCATTTTCCATTTGTGTTCCATGTCAGTGCTCCAAAAGTTTTGGTGTTTGAAGCATTTTGAATTTTGAATTTTTGTATTAGGGATGCTCAACCTGTAGATTGTTTCTATAAACCGCACATGTATTTTTTTTCCCTGTTTTTTAGATTTACTTGTGGGTGCATTTGGAACAGGAAAAGTAGCTGTTTACAGGTATGTGGCTGGTGGTATACAAATGTTCTTCTAATGGTTTTAGGTACATTTTCTTTTTATTGTTTGTTTTGCCTTAAAAACGTATTCTGATTATTATGGATAATACTCCAGATGCTCTTTTTTAAAATCTGGAGGTATTTTGGCCCTCAGTTTTTAGCCTTTCATCCTTCTCTATTTTTATTTTCATACTTGATGACAAAACTTCCAGTCCCTACCAGTGAAACATTAAATAAGATTTGAAACTCAGAAAATCATAAAATGAGCCACTCTTTAAATATTACTGTATCTGATTTTCTCTTTGTACTTTGGAAATCATTGAAATGTGCACTTGTAGAGGAGTTTGGAGTGGGGGAATTTACTCTTTACCTTGGCTGCTATAATCAAGTGTGGACACCGAGTTAAGGAATAAAACATACCAGGAGTTGGCAGCCTGCAAAATCAAGTGTTGATCAGCAGTTCAAATGCAACAGGTGTGGAATCCAAGCCAGGCCGTTCCACACACTCACTAATTTGTAACCTTGGACAAATTCCTATAACTTTCTAAGCCTCAGGTGTTTTATCTGCAAAATGGAATAGCCATGCTTATTTCATAAGGTAACCTTTGTTCAAAAGAATTCAGTGAGAATCTGCATGTGAAGTACTCTGAACAGTAGCTGGTGAGATAGTTGATGTTCAAAATGTGTGGACTTTCCTTTAAAACATTTATAAGAATTTAAGAAACTATGTCAGGATATTAAGACAAAAGTCATAGAGCATAAATTGCTGTCCCTAGGCATGTAGGGAAGGTAGTGCTAATACAGTCAGCTCCCAGAGAAAGTCTGAGGTTAGGTTTCCTTCTGTAGATGGGTTTTCTTCCTCATCAGTTCCATACTCCCAAAGTCTTTGAAGTATGGGGCTTGGGATTTGCAATGGCCACAAAAAGTTGAAGAGAAATGGCCCCAACTGCTGCTTTCTGCATCTGCCATTGCTCTTGTGTCAATGCCCTGTTTCCCATGAGCAGCTCCCCGCCAACTACTGAACACAGCAAGGACATAAATAGAAGCTTATTCCTACAAGACATGCAACTCCCCTCACAGGCAACTCTGACCCAAGGACACCCCATCACCCACMCCAGAACTTTCTTATTCCACCTTCTGTCTTCCCTTCATCCTTTTGGTATCAAAACTCCAAGCCTCCTCCCTTCACTCCCTTCTTTTCTTGTAGGTGATTGTTACAATAAATATCTTGCATGTCTAATTCCATTTTGTTCTCTGCTATTCTAAGGACTGGAGTTAACACAATATTGAAAATAAAAATAATGAAGTAGAGGTCTACAGCATAAAGCACCTTAGGAAAAATCCCAGTAGGCCCCATGTGGTAATGATGGAATTATTTAAAGCAATGTCCTAAGCAACTTTCTGACCCCTGAGTCACAGCTCCCTCTTCTGTCTTCAGAGAAGATTTACCCACTGCATCCTGAGACCTGGTGGCCTTGATTCCTATAGTCATCCTGAAATCTGTTGGTGTTGATTCCCAAGCTTTAAAGATCACTCCACTCACTTCTGTGGTGATTTATTCTCTGGTCTTTTTATCCTTACCTGAGTGGCCAGAATGGTGCTAACTCTATCAGTTCTTCTYTCAAACTTTGTTGAATGTTAGAAACACATTCCAATGTGGTTCTTGCCCCAGAGGTTCCCCTTTGGCTGTTCTGTGGTGTGGCCTGAGCCTTGTATTTCAAAGCTCCCTGGGTGATTCTATTGGGCAGTCAAGATTAAGAACCACGACTCTGAGTTAAGTACAGAATTATTCTGTAAACCCACCCTCGACTGCTTAGCTAACTCTGCAAAGCTCAGATAGAACATTGTCAACTGAGGTAAAACGTTGTCAATGAGCCAACAACATTGTAAAATTCAAATACTTATTGTGAGTGGCTGAAAGATGATGGATTTTCTCAAATATGGATATACATATTCTACCAAATTGTAAAGCAATATTTTATACCAATGTTGTCACAATATTGTGAGTCCATTCCATAAAGAAACAGATCTGTGAGTATGGCTTCACTTGATAGGCCAAGGGCATCCCTTATTTGGATTCATATGCTATCAGATGTGTTCAGAGGTAGCTAATTGAGTGTGCTACCCTCTTTATTCATGCAGAGAACAGAATTCTTGGCACAAAGCTGGGAATGTTGACAGTAGCCTTTGGAAGCAAACTTCTGTCTTTCAGGAAGACAGCTTCTGCCTGTTGCGGTGAGGTCCATTCAGACCCTGTGTTTTCTCCCTGCAGAGCAAGGCCAGTTGTGACTGTGGATGCCCAGCTTCTGCTGCACCCAGTGATTATCAATATTGACAATAAAACTTGCCAGATTCCAGAATCTTTGACACCTGTGGCCTGGTGAGTTCGCCCAGTGCTTCTCAACCTCTAATGTGGATTCAGATCACGTTGGTATCTTGTTAAAAAAAAAAATGAAATATTTCAGTGCAGTAAGTCTGAGGTAGTGCCTGAAGCTTTGCATATGTAGAAAAAGCTTCAAGAGGCCACTGATGCTGCTTGTCTGTGGACCAAGTTTGAGTAGCAAGGAAGTAGTCTTTCAAATGCAACTACTACGTGATGCTGACCTTTGGCTAGTTCTCTGATCTTTAGGCTCTGAAATGAGAAACATCAAAATCTTTGGGAAAATTCCCAGTGAAACAAACCTTGGAGAGATCTCTTTGGCATACTAAAATGATAATCAAATTAAAAATAAAACAAAATACCTTATCTTGCATTTGCATATGCTTTTGGATACCACTTTTCGGATATCTCTTATGTACCCTCCCATGCAACTTTTCTAATAGTCTAGCTTGGGTTAAATCAGTGCTTCCTGGGCTGAAAACAGATGTCACTTTTGTAACAGCATGTACAACTAGATAGAAGGTAAATAGTACAAAAAATAATAATTTGTGTGTGTGTGTGTGTGTGTGTGTATTCCCTAAACAGAATTTTTGTGATCACGGTCTCATCATTAGGAATTGTGGCAGAATCATGGCTCCTTGGCCTGGAACACAGGAGAATATTGCTGAGCCAGCTTTTCAAAGTGTCCCTTGTGAATTGTGCCAGTCACATAAAAGGAGGACAAAATGAAACTAGATTATATCAAACCCCAAGAAAATACTCCCTTGTATTTCAACAGTAGGTCCTTAAGGGTCAGAGGTCATTTTTATATTGGATTATGCCCACSGGGCTTATCTTCTGGAAAATCAATAAATCCCTGAGGTGTTTGAGATTTGCCCTCATTTTCCAGGAGATACRGTCTAACTCAGGCCAGTATGTTCAGTTTCTCAGAATGTCAGAAGGTAGAACAGGCCAGTCCTGACCCAAAGAAGGTATTTCCAGCCCGTGTGAGTATGTTACCGATGGCCTTTCGACAGGAGTTCATATCAGAGTCAACACTTGAGGATGGAGGGTGGGGGATATCCAGAAGACCCTGAAGAATTCTTCCAAAAACATCCTGTTGCTGGGAGCTCCTAGAGTGGGCAGGCATGTCCTCTCCCTTAACTGCTTTTGAAAGTAGTTGGGAAATGCCCTGAGCACATTCTTAAATGGTTTAAACCATAAAATAGTATAATGAAAACCTGATCTGAGAAAATATGTGAAAGAGCCAGCATTTTTCCTTAGCCTGGCATGATTAAATGAACATTAAATGAAGTGTGAGTGCTACATGAGTGTGAGTATTAAAACTTTAAGATCCCCGTGTAGTCTTCTCTAACCCCGTGGATTTCTAGAAGGAGATCTTTCAGCATGGACAGCACACTCTGGTATAGAATGTGGTGGTTTTGAACTAGGTAATTTTTTTTTCTAAGGATTTTTAGTTCCCTGGATAGTTTCCTTAAGATTTAAGTAGTTTTAAGGAACCTGTTTGGTTTTACAGAAAGATTATTACTTTTTAACCAGAAAATGTTCTTTTTGTGTGAGCAATTTTTCCTATTGCATTAAGTCATGTTATTAAGATGAGATGCGATTCTTATGTAGACAAATTATATTGCATTCCTTTAAAGTTATTTATTTAATTCTATTGCACATGTTTCCTGAAAGGCATTTCATTTTCATTTGCAAAATTTATGAGTGGGCCTGTAATCTCAGAAGCTCAGGAGGCTGAGGCAGGGAGGATGGTGAGTTCAAAGCCAGCCTTGGCAAAAATGAGGCACTAAGCAACTCAGTGAGACCCTCTCTCTAAATAAAATACAAAAACAGGGCTGGGAATGTGGCTCAGTGGTCGAGTGTCTCTGAGCTCAATCCTTGGTACCAAAAAAAAAAAAATTAAAAAAAAATCTGAATGGTACCTCAGAGTATAAAAAATACAGAGGTAGCAGTTGTTTTAGTATAGAATGTGTCTCTCTCATTCTTTATAGTTATTGTTATTATTCTTATAACTTAGCATATTTTTCCAAAGCAATTGAAAGGCTTCTGTGAATAACCTTTTACTGTAGATCTGAAATGGTTCTTCACTTTCATCAGTATAGATTTGTCTTTCCTTTTTTTTTTTTTTTTTTGGTACTGGTAATTGAATCCAGGGGCACTTTACCATGAGCTACAACCCCATCCCTTTTTATTTTTAATTTGTACAGGGGCTCATTAAGTTGCTTAGAACCTTGCTACATGGCTGAGGCTGGCCTCAAATTTATGATCCTCCTGCCTCAGCCTCCTGAGTTTCTAGGATCATAGGCATATAGGCATGTATAACCAAACCCAGCTTATTGTAGATTTCTGTCTTTCAATTGGCTGTGTAGCTTTATAAGATATCTGCTATTGGCTTTCTGAGTTAGAAAAAGAAAAGGAAATCCAACTCAATAAATATTAGCATAATTAATTGTTAACAAATTAGAAAAAAAACTAGTGGAAATTTGCATTTTATAAATGCAAAAGTAACTAGTCAATTCACCAATCTGGAAAAAAACAAACAAAAAGCCTTTCCAGATTTAAGTGACTTTATATAAAATCTAATACTTGCCATCATCAAAAAAGGATTGAATTGGTGAGAATGAAAAATGAATTGTTTTGTACTTTTAAATCACGTTTCTTATTGATCTCATTTTTGTCTCATCATATGTGGATGGCTATGAGCAGACTCATATCACAGGATCATTATTCCAATCGTGCATGGGTGGCAATTAGTATGAGGATTTTGTATTGCCCTGACCATATCAGAAGCACTGTCTGTGAACAGTTTCATTTAGATTTATGTGAWGAGGGGTCTGGATTGATTTCATGGTTGTTATTCCAATCAGACCTATTCAGAATAATGGGCCATGCCGAATATGACCATAAATTCAATAATGGTTCACAGCTTTTCCTGACAACCCAAGTATACTTTATAACTATGTACTAACCTGCAAGTGGTCCTAATTCTACGGTATATAAAACACATGATGTCTGTGCATGGATCTGTAGATAACAGATTTTTTTTTTCTGTGTTTTAGATGAATATGCCAGTCCACTGCTGAACTAGTCTGAGGTTTTTCTCTTTTGATTAGAACAGAGTTCTTGGAAACTTGTGACTTACAAAGATTTTTTTCTGCTAAAGACATTTTTAAAACAACAGATTCAGATTGGACTACTGTTGTTAGTAATTCAGTAAGTTGTAGTGATTATATTAAGCTTCATGAAAAATGTGAGTCATCCAGTTGTTAATGGTATTGAAGGAACAGAAAGGGGAAACTAAGAAATATAGACGGAGACTAACATATAATCCATAAATCAACAGGAACCCTTCAGTTGATAACCTCATTTACCAAATACCTTCTCACAAAGTGGGAATAATGTCCACTTTCATAGCTCTAATTTATTCCTTTTCCAAAATCTATATTGCTTTTGAACTGTTTGTATTAAACAAAACACTATCTCCAAAATTATTTTAATTTACTCATGTCGATCATTTCATTACAAATATGAACTTATCTTCTAAAAGCTCATGAGCTTTGTCTATGCAGAATAATGATAAATAGAATAAAGGTCAGTAGATGACTTTAACAAAAAAGTTGTACACAGAAAATCTCCATTTTTGGAAGCCAGACCTGCTACAAAATTTAAAGATGTGATTAACTAGTCATCGTCCTTGAATACTTCTAATTGAAGTAGAAGTGCACCGGAATTTGTGATTTCCCTGGGGAAGTGGTATAAACACTTGTAATGGCATAGACATCTCGGGGAACTTTTGACTTAATGGTATGTGGCGAATTATTTACCCTGAAGGGAGACATTGACTGGGGTCACAGAGATAGATGAATCCCAGATGTGACACATTTTCATTATGTTTGACACAGGAAGCCAACATGTAATTAAAGTATGATTGGGGCTTATTTACTTTGAATTCTGTGGAAATATTTAAATCATACTATAGTATTTTGTTGGTAAAATCTTTAAGACTGTCATTAGATCATAATAAGTATTTTCTTATATTTTTTACTTCCTTTGAAATGTGAAAAGGCTCCATCTTTCATGCTATATGTTAAAACTCAGAATTTTTCCAAGAGGAAGGTGAGAACATTCGGCAAACTCAGGAGGAGACAATGGGATGTTTCTCATTCCTTCTGTGGTCACAGACCAGGGCCAAGTGCAGGTCATCCCACAAGCCATAGCAAGATATTTCCTTGGATTAGGATTCAGGCAGGTTCATGGTAAAACTGTAAAGTGTCTTCTGTGCACACCTTTCCTCTCATCACTGTCTTCATAACCTATATATATATATATATTTTTTTTTAAAGAGAGAGAGAGGGAATTTTTTGATATTTATTTATTTATTTTTTAGTTTTCGGTAGACACAACATCTTTATTTTATTTTTATGTGGTGCTTAGGATTGAACGCAGTGCCCCGCGCATGCCAGGCAAGCACACTACTGCTTGAGCCACATCCCCAGCCCAATAGCTTATATATTGTACCTACCTAGCAACCTTAAGCTCCTTATTTTCTTTCTCTTGTCTTCCCTTTTCTTTTCCCTYTACTGCCAGTCTTACCCCACATCTAGCATGCTACCACCAAGTTCCAGTCCTTCCAAGCAGAGTGGGCAATGTAAGTGAAGCAGAGTGTGCTATTCTATGCTTTTTAGGATTAAATTCACATTCTTTAGCATGACTTCAAAGCCCTGTTTCCCATCATTCCACCAAGTCAGCTGTGCCTCCACCAACTTCCGTATCTTGCTGGATGCTCTAACCACATGAATCTTTCAGTATTGCAGATCGGGCCATGTTCCTACTAATCCAGGCTTTGCCATTACTATCCACACCTGTCCTGCCTTGTTCTTCACTCCATTGCATATGGAAGATATTTATATGTATTTACTGCATAAAAGCTGCAGGGTATTAGTTGATCAATTGTTAAATCAGTTGAACTCTAGGAATTTTTTCAAGTATTACTTTCCTATAACAAGTTACCTGTCTTAATTGTACTGGTGTTGGGGCAGACTGGTGGCAGATATATATGTTTGTKTGTGTGTGTGTGTACAATTAAAAATATAAAGGGAAAATTATGTGTTCGTTTTAATGGAGAAGAAAGATAGGAAGATTTCTACTTCAGATTCAAAACTGTATTAACCCATCAATTATTGACTATTATTTTTTCATAGCTTTTCTTTAAGAGTGTGTGCATCTGTAGCAGGTCAGAGCATTTCAAACACAATAGGTGAGTATACTCCTGTACTGTACCAAGAAAACTGAAAAGTAATCATCTCTCTGCATAGACTATGTAAAACTAAAGATCCCTTACTCAACACCCAGATTTCTATTGCACTTTTGGAGACTTGTACATAATATTACTTCAATAACTGGTATTACTATTTTGTATAAAGTATATAATCGTGAGGAAAATGACAGTCTGTAAAAACATTACAAAAACATTTGAGCTTGGAGAATACTTTGTGACTTTGTTTTTCAGTTCATGTATGTGTTTGATCTTAGCTAATTGAAAAAAAAAATATTTCCTGAATAAGCAATTTAAAACAAGAATTCATATCTGGATACTTTTCCTCCCCTGATTCTATTTAGCCTTGACAGCTGAGGTGCAGTTAGATTCCCTGAAACAGAAAGGAGCCATTAAAAGAACACTCTTCCTGCGTAACCATCAGCCCCATCTCCTCTTCCCTCTGGTGATAAAGCGTCAGAAATCCCTCCAGTGCCAGGATTTGGTCGTTTACCTTCGAGTAAGTGTTCCAGAAATCATTTTCGTGGCCTCTCACGTGCAAATCTGAATTCCAGCCATTTTCCCCCATGTAATCATCCTATTTGTCTCCAGAGATCCCCATCTATTTTCATTTTCATAGGAGGAAACTTCAAGGTTGAATACTCTTCCTGACCCTGACTTCAACAAACCTAATGATCTGTTGCTCTTAATTTCTAAGGCTTCTTTCTGTTTTGAACAAAATCTTGATAACAGCACTCAACTCAGGTGGTTTTCATTTCTAAGTGCCTCCCCTCTAAAGATCATAAAAGTTCAATACAATTTATTTGAGTTTTTATCCTATGCAAGTATGTCATGTTAGATTTTTATCAGTATGCATTTCAGAGCCAACTTAGGAAAACATTAGGCATTCAAGGCTTTTATTAAAAGTAATTTAAAAGTAATTTATAATTATGCTTTTTAAAAGTAGTATGTTTTTACAACTCTAAAACCTACCATGAAATTTTAAAAGTCCAAATATTTATAACACAATATCGACCTTCACCTTGCCAGTGGTTGGATGATGGTCATTTATTCTCAATTCTTCTCCCCTAAGGGACTGGTTTGCAAGAGGAACCCTAGGGAAGACCAGAGATTCACAGCCACATTCACACGTGAAAAGCCAGGCATGACTCACACCTCTTACTGTGGCCTTAAATGGCATAACTGAAAGGTGACAGGCCTGCTGCGTGCTTGCTACTGGGTGCTTAGCTTCTCCTTGGAAGAATTCTGTGCCTTTTATCAAGGGAATGTGAAATGTGCTGAAAGTGTTTTGAAGTTCACGCAAGCCAGGCCTTAAAGAAATAATAAGGGAGGAAGAGAATCAAGATTTTTTTTTTCCCCTGAGCTAAGTGTACTCATAAATTCTGGCAATCTCCCGAAAACAAAAATCCTAATTCTTGGTGGTTTTCATTGAATTTACAGTATATAAGTGTAATCTTTTGCTTTGCAACTTGACAGATTCTGTGTGAGTTGTTGACAATCCAGAGATCCCAAAGATTCCCTCTAGAAGCACATGTTAGTGAAGCTGGGGTTCTAAATGATTGCATCACTGAACATAAACTAACTACGCTAGCTACTATATACCACATAAATCAGCATGTGTCCAAACCTGTTGCCATGGTTGTTGCTCTATCAGTCACTTTCACTGAGCAATGTTGAGTGTTGCCTGCCTTTTGCAGACCAACATCTTGCAGCTATTTCATGGAGCCTCTCTTGAGCTTGTGGTTATTTTTCCTAGGATGAAACAGAATTCCGAGATAAATTATCTCCGATCAACATTAGTTTGAATTACAGCTTGGATGAATCCACCTTTAAAGAAGGCCTGGAAGTGAACCCAATACTGAACCACTACAAGGACAATGTCGTTACTGAGCAGGTATGTCCTTGATGAACTTTGATGGCATTTTTGACAGGTAACCTCTGGGGGTGCAGGTTCCTGTGACCTGAGATGAAGGCTGGCCCCTTATGTTTTGTTTCCTGTATATAGTTGTGTAACTATGCAACATTTGGGAGTTTTTTCTTTTTTTCTAAGAGTTTTTTCTAACATGTTTCCTGAAACACTGCATCCTGATGTTTTCTGAAGTCCCTCCTCTTATGCAACCAAGATTTAATTTGATCAAAATGTAGCAGTAATAGAAGCAACACAGCCTATAATACTCAAAACACTGACATGTATCATTCTGGACAGACATTTCAGAATGAATTGGAATTAGACAACAAGGTAAACTAGCCCATGTCAAGAGGTCACCTCATAACCTAGGGTACAGGACTGGGTAGAATCGGACATCATGAGATAAAAGCTTTGGTTTAATTTTTGGAATTGCTTGGAATTTTCAAGAGAAAGGATATGATTCAGGTTTTCCCAGATTATTCCTGATGTKTGGTTTGTACAACACAGGCTCACATCCTGGTGGACTGTGGAGATGATAATCTGTGTGTTCCTGACTTGAAGCTGTCGGCTAGACCGTGAGTTTAAATAAATAAATGTGTGCATTCTATCCAATGAGATACAGGTGTTTATTTAAAGTTCCTCTGGAGAAGGTACACACTTCCAACTAGAGAAAAAAAAAAGCAACTTACTTGAAATTCTTGAGTTTGGCAACACTTTGGGTTAGCCTGGGGTTTGGTTAGTTCTTTGTCATTGGCRTCAAGTGACACCCTGAGATTTTGCCTGAGCTATTTCGTCTTTCAACAAAAGTTAAAAAAAAAAACAGTGTTTTTTGTTAAAAGTAAACTCACATACGGGGTGGCTGGGGTTATATTTACTTGTCTGAGTCAAGTGGGCAAAGCATTCAGAGAGGGGGGTTCTATCTACACCTTAACCAAACTGGTTTTCACAGCATGCATGCTCAAAGCCATCCTTAAAACTGTCAAAACAAAATTCATTTTAACTTGCTGGAAAAAAAAAGGAACTTAAAATGCACAGAAGGGAGTAAAGCATAAGATGTCAGAAAGTCAAATAAGAATCAAAGGGCTTCCTAGTTGTCAGTAACTGGGGGCCCAGACTTGAGCATCTGTAATTTCACGGCATTCAGAAAGAATTCAGACTGAGATATAAAACATCCTCTGGTAGCAAAAGCAGATTTGTGCTCCTTCCTCTCCCAGAAACTACGGTTACTGCTATAGTTTGGAATCTATTTGGTAATTTCTCAAGGGAACTTTGCCCAAACTTCATAATTTACCACGTGTCAAAAGCAATGGATTTGAGTGAAGGTCAAAAGTGGAAGAGTCATTTCTAAATGTTGGTTTGATTTGGAGTTCAAAGTGAATTAAGGTTCTTCAAAATCCTTCAAAACCTTCTATCAGCCAGTTAGGATCCTGTTTGATCTGCCCTGCCCGTTTCTTCCTTCTTATCATAAGTGTGTCATGTCCCCTCTTACTTTCTAAACCATCTCTCTTTTTTTTCTCATAGCCTATKTTCTTCCTAATATATGTTTTAGCAGTGTCCCAAAGCTGCTTCATTCTGGCTTTTAAGCCAAATGTTAATTTTGCATAATTTTTTGCTAGCAGATTGCTCAGTATATTCGTAGCTTGAAATTAACTACCGTGAGACGATTTATCCCATTGGAATCCACAAATGCTATAAATCAGATTTTTTTTTGTAGTTTGAGACCTGATTGTCAAACAATTCCAGCACCCCACTGGGTGTTTTTCTGCCATTCCCATCCAGACACAGTTCTCCTGACTCTTCCTGCCACTCCTTCATGATGACCTATCTTCTTTGTTGAAGTTCTAGTTTAGTATTTGCTCTGTTCCTTTTCCCTCCTAAATTATTTTAAAAGAAAATCCATGAAGTCAGAGAAATAGAATAAACTAATCATTCTTCCTAAACTACATTTTTTAGAGATAAGCACCAGATTATCATTGGAGATGAAAATCACCTTATGATCATAATAAATGCAAGAAATGAAGGGGAAGGGGCCTATGAAGCAGAACTCTTTGTAATGATACCCGAAGAGGCGGATTATGTTGGCATTGAACGTAACAACAAGGTAATGCCTGAAAATTATTTGAAGTAAGGAGCTGGGTATGCTTTCAAATTCACATAATGTTAAGTAGGGTCATCAAGCTTGAGTGAGTTTCTTCCTAACTGAGAGAAAACAAAATGGTACCTTGCTCTGTCAAATCATGGTAGGATGAAGGGTTTACATGGTGGTAATGTCTGTCTTTGCCACAGTACAAAGGTAAGTTTGCCAAAGACTGAAAGCTGCAGCAAGGAAGAGAACAGAGCTGGGAAAAATGGTAGATCAGCTAATATCCCAGGCTAAATCCCCATCCYTGTGGGCTTTTCAAGGTTTATTTTGAGTTCCTTTTAGTTCCCAGCAGGTCACTGGAGGCCTGGTTTTGATTATTGGTTGGGGAAGAAGGTCCAGTCAATCTTGCTGAGCTCTGATAACAACCTGGACAGAATCTGGAAAGGAAACTAGTAAATTTTTCTTTCTTCTTGGCCTACTTTGGGATTGTGACCAGGACAAAAAAAAATTAAAAAAAWTAAAAAAATWAAAAACCTCTTCCTAAGTTCTCATGTTTGTTAAAATGACACTAATACTATTTATCATCTTTACATTCGTGATCAGAACATGAATTTTCCCACCTCAGTGTATCCTCTGCTCCTACAGTGTTCTTAATCACTTGGTCTAGAAAACCATTATTAATTTATTATAGATTAATTAAGAGTCCCTCAGTTTCAGGAGTATACAAAACTCACAATTGAGAGTAGAGACCAAGTTTCACATTTCTTTCAATAGGAACAGGCACTCTTTAAATACTTGTTGAAGGATTTATTTAACTAAAGTTTATTAAATGTCTTGCTAGTTTCCAAATACTGAAACCACTAGGAGTTCTAATGATTTTTTTTCCTAATGATTAAGGAGTTCTAATAATTTAATAAAAAGGGATTCCTCTGTTTTGATATTGCTATTTTAAAGCCATTTTAATACTTAGGGAATATGAAACACTCTGTTAGCACTTCTAGTTTCATGGAATTTTAAGTTAGTTGAATTATCTTCCCTGTAAAAGAAAAGAAAAATCCAGATGAATAAGAATCAAGTATCTTTGACTCATTTAAAATCATTATGAGTTTCTATGGAAGAAATTCATAGAACAAATATCTCCAAGTTCATCAAGTTGTATCCATTGAATATATATAGCTTTGGGTGTGTCAATCATACCTCAATAAAGGAGTTTAAAAAATGGTCCAAAATTTTTCTCTTTTCTATGTCAGCAATGAGACTGGGAAGAGGAAAATTCATCCCATTTCTTTTCAAAAGTGTATAGAGCTGTACAACCTGTTCCTTCCTGTCCCCATTACAGACATGAAAATCAATTTGTACCTTCATTTCTCTAGTGAATGGCCTATAATCATTGCATTTCTTCTTCCTCTATTTACGTGATTTTCCTTACTCATTTCTCCATTAAAGTTACTTCAAGATATAAAAAAAAATGAGAATAAGTGGAGCACTTATACATACACCTATAAAGATGGTGTTTGATGACCATTTTGAGTTGAAAACTGTCATCTTGTAATAAACCCTCTACAAAGAAAGAAAAATCACCTACAAATACTTATATGCAAATGATATGTGAGCAAATTATGAAAAAGAAGCTCAAGTATAATATTTTTTAAAATGTTCCAGAGCTCTACTCACATTTTTGTTTTGATTCCCTTTGTGTCACTCCACCCCTGACTTCATTAAACAAAACATCTATGTTCTTTTAGCAAAACTTTCAGCTTACTGTTCCCTTGGTTGCAATGGAAAACCTGGGAGAGGGCTTATCACTCTGTGGTTGGCTGTAAATAATACCATCGACCTTATCCGTCATCTCAAATGAACCCTTAGCAAATTTTTCTCTCCATCAATTTCCCTTGGGCCAAGATTTTTACTCAGTCTTTGAATTTTACAAGACTAAGCCACATTCTGTTTTTTCTTTGTTTTTAATACAGTTTGAGGTTTGTGAACCTTTTCATTTAAATGCAGTTTGGTTTTTTTTTTTTTAGTAAAACATTCTCTTAAGGGGAAAAGTATTAGGAATTATCTGATTGCATATTTGGGAGTTTTATTCTTGTTCTTGAAAACATTCATCTTTTAGATGTTGATTATTACTTTCTCTAGAAATATGAATTGAGCCAACCTGTATACTTTCTTTCATTGACTTTTCTTCTAAATTTTTCTAGGAATAAAGGCCTATGTGCCTTATTATTGTTGTTGTAATAAAATATGTATGAGGTCCGATTTACCGTTTTTACTGTCTGCAGTGTGCAATCCAGTGGCTGAYGTTCACACTGTTGTACACCTGTCACAGCTCTCCAGTTCCAGAACTTTTCATTATCCCAAACTAAAATTCTGTCTTCATTACAGTCCCATTACCCTTTTTCCCCAGACCCGAGGAACCACTCTTCTGTCTGTCTCTCCAAAGCCCCTTCTATTCTAGGTAGTTCATATACATCTTCACTTAAATCTCTCCAAGCACCTCACCTACAGCCTGTCCCTAACTAGACTTTTGTCTTTCCACCACACACTCCTCCTGTATTTCCTAAGAAAATGGCAGCAGTAGCCACCCAATTTCCCAAAGCCTAAAACCAGTCCTTCATTTCTTAGTCCATATTCCATCTCTCCATCCACTGGCACTTGACTCTGCCTTCCTCCCAATTGGCATGACCCGTGAACCAGATTTTTCCAACAGTCTCCTAATTCATGTTCCCATCTCCCTGTTACCAGTCCCTTCACTACAGAGAAAACCATCTTTTTCAAATGCACATCCGACCATGTCACTCTCTGACTTGAAATCTTTACCAGTTCCCTGTTGTTTGGGGAATAAGATCCAAATCCTTCAGATGACTTCTGAAGCTCTTCATACTGCCACCCCASCTCACTTCTTCAGCCTCACCATGGCTTACTGGTTCTTTCTGCTCACCTGACTTACGTCTCTTTACTCATCCTTCAGACATTGATAATAATTGAGATGTACTAATAACTGAAGCTTAATAATAATTGAGCTTGCTAATATTTATTAACAGTGGCTATAGGCTAGATACTGCTTGGAGCTCTTGTATGTATATAATTTATTCAAGCCCCATAACAAGCTTATAGAGAAACTGCTATCATGATCCCTGTTTTTTAGATAAGGAGAAATCAAGTAGCATGCCCAAGGTTACTTGATCTAGCAGAATCAAGATTCAAATCTCACCACTGGCAAGCATTGCCCCTTCAACTTAAATGCCACCCCCTCCAGGACATTTCCAATTGCTGAAATCCGTGTGTATGTCCTCCTTTATCATGATTTAATTCTCCTGTTATAATACTTATTAGCTCCTACGTAATAATGTGTTTCCATGGCTTGTTATAATTGCTGGTGTTACTTGCTACCATTATAATATTAATTAGAAATTCAGTGAGGACAAAAGATCTTATCTATCAAAACCTGATAAATAGCTGGTCCACAGTAAATATTTTTAGTGGATGAATATGTGAGTGAATCATACTTTAAGAGCTATAAACAGATTAGAACCAAAATGTCCCTGGAACTGCTGACGAAAATAATCTAGAAATATCTAGACAAACAATCTCTAGACAAACAATTTCTCTCGTAGAAAGGAAATAAAGGTTAAAAAAAAGACAGAGGGTGGAGGGGATGTGGGAGTGAGAAAAATCTTTGATTGATTTCAAATAACTATTTCTAGAAAGCTGGAAAAATGTCCTCATTTATACTTTAACGCTTAGATAAGATGAAAAAATATTTTCTATAGAAACTAAATCCTTGAATTATATTCAAGGGATATATGGGCACTTGTTAAAGCTTTTTTTTTTTTTCTGTCTTCGTGTCTGAGTTAATAATCTCAACATGAAACATCCCTGTGTAATTAGGATTAGTTATGGGATTTTAAGAAGTTGAATACTTGCTAAATCAAACTTTAGAAAAGAGAAGATTACMAGCTTTTGGAAAATATGCTTTTTAGTTCCTTCAGCGTAACTAACATGTCATTCAGGGTATTTGGAGAGAGCGTGTGTTAAATGTGCTCCCAAATGTCAGTGATTCACTCTTTTCCCTTTAGTTAAGAGTGTGTGTGTTGAAGTCTCAAAGTATGTGATTTGCCTAGGGAATTCTCTAAGCAGATGTCTGGAATTTGGAGTTTGTTGTTTTGATTTGGGTTTGGATTTGGGGTTTTTCATTACTAAAGTAGAAAGAAAGAAATAGAGGATCTTTTCTGATACTTTTACYTGAAAATTTCACATTTCTTCCTTCCATAAAATTTCAACACTTCTGATAGGTAGATAAAGGACCATCTTGGTGGGAATCATCTCCTGGASAGAAATCCCCAAAAGGGTGATCCATTGTAAAAAAAATAATCATATTGCAAGGTTATCTTTGGGCATTGATGACATGTAATAGTTAGAGCAAGATAATGGATTAGTATAAGTAGCTATCATCCAATGGAGAGCAGGGGCATGGGCCAGTAGGTTCCGGAGTTTGGAAAAAGAGTCAGGGTGAGATTCGAGGGAGGGATTTCTAGGCAGCTGGTAGTAGCGTGAGGACAGGAAGTAGAGGTGGGAGGAGCAGAAGGCAGCAAAGATAAACTCTTTTTACCTCCCCTTATCTAGGCTAGAGTTCCAAGTGCTTCTTCCAAATTGACTTTTTATAAACTCTAATCAGAACAGGATATAGGGAGAAGCAAAGAGATTGGAATTATACTGGTTAAGTATAAACGTCTTCTGTTTGCATATTTTGAGTATTGAACAAAATTAACTCTAATTTCTAGACAAGACCATGGTGGGTAGAAATTTGTATTCAAGGAAATTCTCTTGCAAATGTTCATCAAGTCTTGTGATGAACCATACATGTTACTGGATTTCGCTTTTGCCAGATTAACATAAGGAGTGTCTATTTATTCGTGCCCTGAGTTTAACATTAACATCAGTGAAAATAATGTCCAAAATATTCACATAAATATGAACATTGTGTTCCTCGGTGAAGCCCATGTTTACCCTTCAACACATTTTCTTCTAAAATTTTACTTTCCCCTTTTTCCTCTCASGTTTCTTCTGAGTCAGTGGTCACAGATTAATTTCTGTGCAGCTCTTCTCACACAGGTGTTTGAAATCAAGGGCAGCTCCCAGGCCCCACATTGCTTCGGGATGTAATTTATTCTGCCCCCTGAACTCCAAGCCGGTGTTCTTTCCCGTTGTAGGTTTTGCGGCCACTGAGCTGTGAGTACAAGATGGAAAATGTGACCAGGATGGTGGTGTGTGACCTTGGGAACCCTATGGCGSCTGGAACAAATGTAAGAGAAAACCAGCAGAATGTACCAATTTCCGTCAAATTGAATTTTATAGAGAATTCGTACCGCCCCTCCCCCCTATTAGCACTCATCAACCTAGCACACAGCACCCCAAACAAATTAGGCAGGAAATTACCCAGGTGGAGGAATTTAGCACTATAACCATAGACTGATGATCACAGGTTAAAAATACAAAAAGATGTTGACTTTTACAGGGTTTCTTTTTAGACTCTACATTTATGAGTCTTTTTCAGCAAATCTATGAAGATGTTCTTACTAGATTTTTTTCCTTAAATATTTTTTTTAATTTTATAAAGACTTTCCCCCTTTGAATTAAAAAATAAATACAATGTATGGGGGGTACTTAAAATAACTTAATTTTAGCAAAAAAACCCTATTATTTTCAGTATAACTTCCTATATAGATATTATTCACAGTATTCATATTTAAATTATTGCCATACTGTAGCTTTTGTGCTGGGTCTGCATTTGAAAAATACCACAGAAAATTGTTGATAGCAAGGGCAAAAAGGTTGATGACTTTCTCCAACATGCTTGTAAAAGAATAGGAGTTATTTGTTTTTCTCCTCCTCCTTTTTTATTTCTGTTTCCAAATTTAAGAACTTCCCACTCAGGACTACTTATGGATAATCAATTTCTTTTATGTAATCATAGTTTAAGTCCACACATARTAATTTTTTAATAAATCTCATCATGGCAATTATATTACAAAGTCATAAGGCAGGAAAAAAATTCTGAAATCTGAAAATGCTACATAATAAATCTTCCATAAACTGAGCTAACATATTCTTGGATTTAAAGTTAGTGTTCATATTTGTGAATGGTTTGTTTGGGTAATGAAATGGTTTGTTTGAAAAAAATTTGTGAAAAGTTATGATTATATGTAGGTTTGTATTCAAGTGAATTCTCCATGGATTCTAAAGAGTGCTGCTCCTCTGGGCATCCTTTTAAAGGGAGCTCTGCAGTCACTAAGAGCATCCTGTCCTTCCCTGAGAGATCTAGGCACACACTTGCATTTTAAAGAAACTGAGAAGCTTTCCAGTAAATAAATCTTTTAGGCCAGTGCTTCACACAATTACCTGAATATGTGAAACTTTTTTCTCAAATAATATGTATTCCCAATTTATACTTCAGAATATAAACAAGAATAATATAGACTGTATAGACTGTACTATTATACTAATATTGGGTATTTAAAAAAATGTACCAAGCTGTAGTCCAGTAAACTTACTTTTTGGGTCAAAAACATATTTAAGTGAAAGGTAAATTCCTCTAACAGATTACTATTGGGTCACATGGATTGATTATCCTGTGTGTTATAAACCCATCCCTAGGGAAAGGGGGTACTTTTGTGTTCTTTTATTCAATTTTCAAAACCCCATGAGTCAAGTATTCCTGCAATTTATGGATGAGGAGACTGGGGCACAAAGAAGTCAAATGATTTACCCAAAGTCACACAGAAGTTGAAGACAGAACCCAGATATAAACCAGGCCTAACCACAAAGACCTTACTCTGTCTGGTCTGCAAAACTGTGAGAGGATTTGGATAAAAACTAATGAAGAGCAGATGAGACTTTAAAATGAATCCATGGAAGAGAATGGGATGTCCAAACTGAGATATTAGAACATTTTTCACTCTAATCCTTTTAGTTAGAAGCTAATAAATTCTTTTGCCAGTTTTGAAGAAAAATATCCAACCACCCAATATGAWTACCTAAGGACAAATGAAAATGAATTGACATGGCGCCATAGGTTAGCATCTGTAGGTATAGTCACTCTGCCCTTCTCCAGTATTGGTTAAGTGTTAAATATGGACCAGAGTTTGTATAAGGTCATCGATAACAGAGAATAGTCTTGGAGCAAAAACTGGCCACCAGTGTCATTCAAAAAGGAGGGTAAAAATGGCGGTGTGGTATGAACCACAAATGTGTTTATGTGAAAGGATGTCAATCCATTTTACCAGCAAATAATCTTTAAAAGTCAGGGAAGTAAATTGTTTACATTCATTTATCTCCGAGTTCTCTAGTAGGAGAAACCTAATAGCTTTCTTATCTTACCCCTTAATGCCCTTAAACACATCAAATTTTATTGCATTCTGTTTTGTTATAAAAGACTTTGATTTATTTACTTCTTCATTTTGTACTTTTAAAAGACTCTCAGTGAATTGCAGTAAAATCCCAAATAGAAATGCAGCACTAAATCTTTTTTTAAAAAAAAATCATAAATCATCAGGAATATTTATCTCAGTCCCAATATTTTCAAAAATTTAATTTCCAAGTGACTTTTAACATAACAAAACATTCAAGGTAGTATTTAGAAGTTTTGCTTCTGATTTTTAAATAGTAAAATCATATTCTTTTAGTAGTTATAATAGAAAATAGTTCAATGCCAATAAAGGTTCCTAACAACTCACAAATTTTCTCTAATAAGAAAATGAAAAACCGATGTGATTCTGCAATCTGTATACAGGGTAAARATGGGAGTTCATAACCCACTTGAATCAAATGTGTGAAATATGATATGTCAAGAACTATGTAATGTTTTGAACAACCAACAATAAAAATTTTTTAAAAAAGAAAATGAAAAGAGAAAAAAGGAGGGGAGATCAAAAACATTTTTGAAATGAATGTCCAGAGATCTGGTGTTAGGTATGAGTTAAGACCACATGTGCCTCTTATCAATATGACCTTGCCATGCCTTGATTTGTCTTCATCCCTGTGAACCATTCTATACTGAAGACCAATGTAAAGCAGCCTCATTCACAATATAGWACAATTCCCATCATGGATGTGTGCAAACAAGGGCACACTCTCATAATTCTTTTAACAATTTTTACTGCATCCTCCCSTATGCCTCTTCCTAAACTAGAATCTGACAATATAAATATGAAGATACACAATTTCCTTCCAATATGAAAATCAAAATTTGCAACGTCATAGGTTTGAGTTGTGGTAGAGTAATAAAGGAGACTGAGAATGAAGAGGGAAAAATTCTTCCTGACCTGGCCGGTGACTACAGAACTTAAATAACAACTCTAATCCTGAGTTTTGAAGCCTAAGTAGGAGTTCTTCAAGTAGAAAAGGCAGAAAAAGGCTTAAAAAAATATCTCAAAGAAGAGAAAAGAGCATGGGCAATGGCCTGACAGAAAAATTGCTCATTTGGAATTAGAAAGGACTTGCTTGTTACTGGAGCATGAGGGTGCACATGCTTTATAATTAAGATACATCTGGGTTTAAATACCAGCTTTGCCACTTATCAGCTATGATACCTTGGGCAAGTCACAGAGAAATGGGGAAAAACCTACTTGTATAAAGGTTTGAAGAAAGACACTGAGATAGTGTAAGTAAAGCTACTAGGATGGTGTTTGACCCTTAGCACATTCCATAAAGTCCAGTGAAACAATGAGGATGATCTATGACCAAAATGATAATTTACTCTTAGAGTATTATTGATTCTCATTAATATGTTTTTATATCCGATTCTATTCTCATACTATAGTAGCTGTGATTCTGGAGTCATTATGCATGGGTTTAAATTCCTGCTCTGTAGTTTATTGCTCTGCACCTGGAGCAAGACACTTAATCTCTTTAATCCTTAGATTGCTATTCATTTAAAAAATGTCAACCACTGTACCTATCTCAGAGTGCTTGTCTTGATTACAGGACATGAGGCACATTAGTAGAGTGCTTGGAAGAATAACRTAATTTTATATACATGTTAACTATTATTCCAACTTCCTCATTTTATATTATTGTTTTCTCCATTTTTAAATCTATTTTCAAATTATAAAACTAATAGAGCAAAAAAATAATAATAAGAGTAGTTTTTTTTAAAAAATGGAAATAAAAGAGGAAAAAATAATCCATACAACCATAACCCTAACCCAACATATTGTTGTGGAATACTTCCCTCCAGTACATGCCCACTCCCATGTGGTAATTTTTCCATACATAGACTTTTTAAAACCCATTACACAAAGAACTTTGTAACTTTTATTATTTGTTGTTCATTATTACATCAAAAGCATCACCCACATTATTGCATTGACCTTACAGCTATAATTTCAACAACTATATAATGTCTATCAAACAGAAGCATCATAGATTTCTGAACCAATCCTCTCATACATTTGGATTGATGCCAATAAATGCATTAGGGAGGTGACATAAAAAGAGAGGGTCCAGGACAAAATGTAGAGTGACCTGAATCTTCTGGACTCCTGAAGTCTGATTCCATGACTTCCTCTCAACTCTCAGCCACCCAGGGCAGAAGCAGATAAAAGGATATTACAGTGACTAAGGTTCGATTTTTGGAGGAATTACTTAGGAAATATTTTCACAGAATAACTTTGTRTCCTTTGTGTGTTCTGTTGTTGTTGTCCTTGTTTACAGTATTCTCTGGGCCTCCGGTTTGCAGTTCCACKTCTTGAGAAAACCAACATGAGCATTAACTTCGATCTCCAAATCAGAAGGTTAGACCTTTCGATGCTCACATTATGGACAGCACTCACGAGCAGAGATTCATAGTATCTGCCACTTATAAGCTCTTTTATCTGAAAAATCCTTCTGAAATCAGAACCTAGACTTTCACAGATCAGTTATTCTTTATTTTTCTCAAATTATTTCAGTTTTTTCAACATTTTGGTTTTGACACAGAGACTGCATTTCATAGGCCACATTATGAGATAATCAGATTTTGTCCTGGACACCTCACTTCTCTTCCACTTTCCCACATTCCATGCACATGCCTCCCACCCCTACCACACTCCATAGTCTCAGTACAGCATCAGGTAATTACTGCAAATCTGCAAAAAAAAAAAAGCATAGATTTTGCATGTGCAATTTTGGGGGCAGAACCTTCTCCAGCAATGATAAACTGAGCCACATAGATAGCCATCCCCCTTTTCTAAGGATGATCCTGTTCAAGAATTCAGCTGTAACTTTGTCCTTTCATTGTCTATTCTGTTTGCTCCTTCATGGCCAAAAGTGGTATTTGATAAGCAGGAAGACCCACAGGTAGTGAGGCTGCAGGTCAGGGCTTCCTGGCTATGTACTTCGCCCATTAGCTGGGAATGGAATCAATTTAATGGCTCAAAAGCCATATTAAAAGAAAACAATCTAGGCATGGTGGTACACATGCAGGTGCCTTGTGAAGTAGATAGGTATTTTTGTGTGTGTGGTCTGTTTTATTCAGCTATTACATGACTGTGACTAAAAGACCCAACCAGAACAATTATGGAGAAGAAAAAGTTTCTTTTGGCCTCACARTTTCAGAGATCTCACTGCATAGACAGTAGCCTCCATTCCTTGGGGCTCGAGGTGAGGCAGAACATCATGGCAGAAGAGTGGTGGAAGGAGGCAGCTCACATGATGATCAGGAAGCACTTGCCAGATACAAAATTTATACCACAAATCCATGCCCCCAGGGACCCACCTCCTCAAGCCACACCCTACCTGCCTCAGTTACCACTCAGTTAACCCCCATCAGGGATTAATTCAATGGTTGGATTAAGGTTCTTATAATCCAATAATTTCTTCTCTAAACCTTCTTGCATTGTCTCACACATGAGCTTTTGGTGGATACCTCACATCCAAACCATAATATGGTGTAAAGTTTCAAAACTTCAAAAAACTCTGGTATAGATGCACATATGTGCCTTCCAYAGTTATAATTTGTCAACATTTTGAATCCCTGTTCTAAAGATAGAAATGACTACAATTTGGTGCTTAGAATTTGGTTCTCTAATAGCRATGCAATGTGGCTAATCTCTAAATTTATCTTAATATCTTTCAAGAAGTGCCATTAGTATGCGATAACTTTTAGAAAAATTATTCTGTGCACCTGATTACCTTTTAGTACTACATCAATGAAAGGTTTAGAGGTTTTTTAAAATATATAAACTCTAGAAGAGTATAGCATATTTTTAAAAATATGCAACCTATATCACAAAATACCCCTCTTCACATTTTGTGATAGATCTCTTAGGAGGAAGTTATCCTAACTTAGCTTAGATATTCTTTTCTGACTTTACCTAGGTCTTTCTTGAATTTAACTTAAATATTTTCTGCTGAATCTTAGAACATTTTTATTTTCTCCAGATAGCAATGAGATCAGATGGAATGAATGTATTCAAAGAATATCTCTTCATGTTACCAAAAGATTATTAAATTGAGTTTTTATATTGGTAAAACTATGTATTTCCAAAAACGTTCAGATAGTTGTAAATATTTTCAGTTTGGAACTATTATGCTTGTATTACTGAGTTTACAGGGGAAAAGTGCCAAAGTGAAGGACCAACATCACTCTAGACTTTTGTCTGAAGCTTCTATTTCCCTCTATCATTGCCTATGCCATTGATMCTACAGGAGCATGAAGCTTTATGTACTTGGCGAAGGATATATCTCTCATAAAATACATGGCCTTATTTAGGAATAAAGTRCCAAGCAAATTCTCTGATATTTCCTCCTTTCTCTTGATTGCRATTATGAATAAAAGAATGGAAGCAAACAGTAGTTAACTGAAGAGGTAAAAGGCAGTAGATGATATTGTAAATGCCACATCCAAATCCACCTTGTAGAGCATCACTTAAGTAATTAATTCAGTAATGAAATGTTGAATTGGACCGAAAATAGAAATGGGTACATACTTTAACATCCCCCTTCATCTAACAATGGATCATAATTATATTTCAGGTCTACTCATGACTCTTTTAACATTACACTAAAAAATAAGAATGCAAATATGCAGAAAGAACTGGAACATAGATAAAACATCAAATTCTCAAAATATATATTATAGAGATAAAATTGTTTGAGAATATTTTTAAAACTCAAATACTAAAAGTATTTAAGAGATGGACATTTATCTGCTTACACTGGCAGGCTCTGAAGATGTAAATAAGAATTGAGATGGGTAGTTTTATATTCAGTTTAACTGCATTCAAACCCAAAATAAATTAAACCAATGCTCTGAAACCTGAACTCTTATAACCATACTTTGATCACCATTACCTGTGCCTAATTCACTTTTCTACAAATAAAAAAAAAGAGAAATGGGCTTTATAAGTTAATAAGCTTAAAATATTTTCTATTAGCAAATATTTGAATTAACGGTCTTTCCATGCCCCTGATCTAAATGACATCAACATTTCCCTCCCTGGGTAGAGAGGTTCTCACACGGCAGTCTCCACATACAAACAKGGTTTTGCAATTATTCTTGAAGTTACTTCCTAAGTAGTGGTGAAATGTACATTATACTGTCTTTGCTGACATCCCAAGGACCACAGAAAAATTTTAAAAGAATGTTAGAAAAYAGGAAACAATGGGAAAAAGAAAAATGGCATTTGGGTAACAAAGTGAAAAACATGTTTTTCTGTGGTTTATGCCATAGGACGTAGTCATGTAGAGGAAATCCATCCTTCCTTACATAACTCAGCCTTGTGGCAGTGATGGATCGCTTGTTTGAATGTAGYGGGGGTATTTGTGAGGGACACTTCCTTCCAGGAAGGTTAGAGAAACATCTAAGTTGTATATCAAACCTGGTTCCTTTATTACAAGGAGATCTTATCAACACCCATGGTACTCAGTAGCAAGTGTCATGGCATGCCTGTGTCACAGGGGATGATTCTGACTAACCTACCAGACTCTGCCATTGCTCTTGCTGCATCTTAAAACAGCCTCTGACAGCCTCATATTAGACTGAATCTCAAAGACAATTTCAACATTTGACCTTCATTTACATTTTCAGGGTATCATAGTGAATATGTTGTTCTCTAAACTAATTACCAACAAACTCAATGGAATTATTATGCAATAGCTTAAATGATACTTTTTTCATAATTCTGATTTCCACTACTGCAAAGCAGTAATGAACTGGAAATAGAAAAAAAAATCTGGTTAATCTGTGGAGCGAGGATATTTCAATTTCAAAACTAAAGAGTTACTCAATACATTTGGGACCATAAACTCTGCCACAAATAGAATTATTTGGTAATGATTTCTTGGTGATTAGAAATTTGAATCCTGTCTTTGAAAGAAGAAGAGGAGGAGAGGTGAGGAATGAAAAGAAGCTAGATAGAATAGATAATAGTTAAATGAATGGCCTGGAAACTGGAGTTCAAACTTCACTGAAAAAGTTCTTGTAGGCTCCTTCACAAGGTTAGCAGTGATGCTCCATTGCAGGAAATGAGCCTGGCACCTGCCTGTTTATATCTGTTATGTGTTTGCCGGGTGAATTGCCTTATCAGTGTAGACAATGGATCAGGACTTTGCAAAAGCATCATGGGAACAATTCTGTCTCTTCTTCCTTTGAAAACAGAACTTCATCCTGTTCTTTCCAGCTCCCACATTTTGAAAGCTTCAAAATCTAGACAGAAACTACCCCATTCCCATCACCATGGTGTCAAATCTTGTCCCTTAAATCCAAGTGAGATTCAATGATGAACAAAGAGGAAGCTTTTCTTAATGAGACCAGAATATAAATATGACCCATAAGTGGTAATGTGGCCACATCCCAGGTGGCTAAAAGCTGCCTAGTGACTTCAATGATAGCACAGAGGGACAACAAATGTAAATGGCCCAGTGACTGAGCCTCTTGGGAGGTACATTTTATTTTCCTTACAACACTGATTACTTAACACACCTGTTTTTTTGGAGTTTAATTTTCATATCTAATCACATTTGCTTGAGGGAATAAAACAGCAAAATTAAAAATAATTTGGTCACTGTTCAAAGAAATATTATAGTAAACACACACTTTCYAGCTTGAGACTCTTGATGCTTTTCAGAAAGATCCATGTCACCTCTGAATGGCCTGTTTATGAAATGCCCAACTTCCTTGGGTCTCGTTTCTCCTTGCCATTAGCCATGTTTCCAATTCACTCCCCACTCCTCTCCCAGACAGTGAGTATGCCATGAACATACACTTATTTTAACATTAACTTAAGAAATAAACCAAGAGGAAGATAAAATTGCTGCCAAAACAATGTATGGTATGAGGCATTCCAGAGCCAAACACAAATGCTTTTTCAATTAAGTGCTGCTCTGGATTATTCATGCCAGTTCCCCTCTTTATAAGCATGGAAAATCAGGAGTTGACTGTGTTGTCGTTTCCCATTTGATGGGCAGTGAACATGATGCTCAGAGATGCTAAGGAATTTGTCCAAGGTAGAAGCCAGAAAATGAACTCAGCTAAATGCCTTTTTGCTTTAGCCAATGAAACTAAAAAGCGTTGGCTTCTCTAGATCTGTATTGTATTTCCAGATAAAGTGTCTCCTCATGGAAAGTTGTTTCCTTACTGTTGGTCGTAAAAGATCTTAGCATTGCCCTGTACAAATGGTTATGATTTTGTAGAATGAATATATCATTGTTTTCTGAATGATCAGGTTAGGAATGTGTGTTGCTCTTGTGATCACCAGAATGTCTTTTAGGGTCACATAGTGTGTAACACACCTGAGGAAATATATTTAAATAATGTATCATTGTGTTTTAGTTCCAACAAGGACAATCCAGACAGCAATTTTGTGAGTTTGCAGATCAACATCACTGCTGTAGCTCAAGTAGAAATAAGAGGGTAAGTAATAAACAAGACATAAAAATAATATAATAGCATGCAGTAGCAGTAGTGGTAGTATGGCTCCATGTATGTAAAGACTTATGATGAAATACTGGTAAAGATTATATGGAGAGGCTGGGGATATATCTCAGTGGGTAGAGTGCTTGCCTCACATGCACAAGGCTCTGGGTTCAATTCCCAGCACCACACACACACATACCAAAAAAATTATATGAAATATTCCTAATGTATTAGAGATCACAATTTGTTACTAGTTTKCATTCTTTTCTACTCATCACTAACATTCTATCAAAAAATACAGTAAACTTTGTATAATAATTAACTCTACGTATRTCAGAACATCAGTGAATTCCCCAAACTGACAGTTCAGTAATCAACCTATAAAAACCAGTTGATGAGAAGCTAGATAAAATAGACAACMATATGATTGCCTGAAAATAAGGTCACTTTTCAATAATTATTTTAGACACAGTGACAATTTAGCCTCACTCTATCACACATTSAGTTTAATAAATAACTAACTCTCAGGTGCAAGGGTGGATGGAATATACATTCTGTATTTTTCCCTTTGGTCTTGTACTTTGAGGAAGGTGCCAATAAGCAGTCAACTGAGAGACAGGAGGAAAGTGGTCAGTGGACTGGCCAAGTTCTTATCTTGTACAAATATGGAATCCATTGATCTTGTTATGGTAATTCTGCTGTTTTCAGAACAATCAAGGACTTGGTTAAAAAATGTCAACTGGTGTTTTGGACCAATCATCCTTGGGGTTCCAGAATATTGGTTCCCTTCCTTTTCCACAGGTCCTGAATGGTTTACACTCCGCCACGATAACAATGGATTTCTACATTTCCAGAGCCATTCTCCATGGGCCTTCTTATGGCTGTCCCATGGTGCTCTCACAGGGACCCTGCCCAGCTGTCTGGGTACCACTGAGCACCCCCCCCCAGTGGATTAGATGATGATGATGATGATGATGATAACATAATATTATTATCAATACTGCCCAACGTTTATCACCATTTTCTGTGTGCTAGTCCATGTATTACATCTTATTACATAGTAGTATCCTAGTACAAATAAAAGAATTATGGTACAAGAATTCAAAGGCTATACAGGTAGAAAATAGCCAGAATATGTACATTGGCAACTTGTCTTCAGAGCTCATGCTCAGGAATGAGCATRCTGTCCTGTCCTGCCTATGAGACAGAGTTTTTTGGGACCCTGTCTATAAAATTTATATATGTATGCTCTGTGATTTTTGTATTCAAACCAGTATTTTTATTTTTACCCAATTTTGTGCACATACTTGTAGTTCATTCATTTTAACTGCACAACAGTCTTACATTGGAAATATAGAACATAATTAATTCATCCATTCTACTTTTGATGAAAATTTGGAACTTTTCTTTTCTCCTTTTTTTACAAACTTTTTCATGCATGTCTTCCAGTACACAATGGACAAATGTCAGCCAGGCGTTATGTTAAAAACTGGAATTTCAGGATCAGAGAGTTTACACCATTTAACTTTACTAAATAATTTCAATCTCTTTTTCAAAATAGTTATGTCAAGTTGCACTCCTACCATAAGTGTATGAGAGTTTTCATTGCTACACATTATCAGATAAAATGGTCCAGTTTTTAATTTTAAGCCATTGATGGATAAGAAAGAATATGTAACTGATAGTTTGATATGCAGCTCCCTATCCTTAAATGAAATTGAGATTTTTTATAGGTTCATGTCTCTTAGTTATTCACATTCAGAAAAATTCTTGTTAATATTATGTACATATTTCTTCTGAAAAGGATTGACTTTTTCTTGTCAATGCACAGAACTTTGTTTCTATTCAAGAATTTAGACACTAATCTATTAATTACATATGCTGCAAATATCTTTTCACAATTTATGGGGTCTGTGGGTTTTTTAAGTCACATTTACTTAGTTATAAATTATATACACTAAAATTCAGCCTTTTGGGAGTCCAGTTTGAAGAGCTATAAAACCATAAAAACTTTCAATATAGAACAGTATCATCACCCCAGTAATTCCTATAGATTCTTTTCTAGTCAGTCCTTCTCCTGCACTCTGGGAATCTTGATCTATTTTTTTTTTTGTCACTGTATTTCTATCATTTCCAGAATGTCACATAAATGGTCTYATTCATTCAGAGTACACTTGGCATAACGAATTTGAGAAGCATCCATTTTCTCACCTGTATGGGTAGTCTGCTTCTTTTTTTGCTGGGAGGTATTCCATTATATGATGTCCTGCAAGGTRTTTGTTATATGGTGAACATATAAGTTGTCTATAGTTTGGGGCTGTTAAGAATAAAGCTGCTATTAGCATTCACAGCCAGGTCCCTGTTGAGAATTTTGTTTTCACAAATGGATATACTGATTTCTTCAGGATGTATATGTTTGTAAGAAATTGCCCAACATTTTCCAGAAAGGTTATGTCATTTCCATTTTGAATTCTCACTAGCAATGGATGAGAGTTCYCTAGTCATGTTCATCYTAGCCACCATGTTTTGTTTGTTTATATTTAGTCACTCTAATAAATGTGTAGTATATCTCCCTGAGGCTTYATTTTCATTTGCTTAATGATTAGTTGTATTGAGCAATCTTTCAATGCCTATTTTCAACTCTTTTTTTGATAAAGTGTCTCAATTTTTTTCCTCGTTTATTATGTGATTGTTTGTCTTTTTCTTACTGAGTTGTAGAAGTTCTTTACATATTCTAGATAGAAAATCATTCATCGGTTACATGTCCTGAAAACATTTTCTCCCAGTCTAAGGTATGGCTTTATATTTTCTTAGCTGTGTTCAAACAAAAATTTCTAAAGTTTGCATGAAATCCAATTGATTAATTTTTTTCACATTTTGTGCTCTTTGTATCCTTAGAAATATTTTGCCTTTCCAAAGTCACAAGTATTTTTATCCTCTGTGTTTTCTACCAGAAGTTTTATAATCTTAGATTTTACATTTAAGTCTCTGATTAATTTTAAGTTAATTTTGTATTTGGTGTGAGGTAAGAGCTGAAGATTGTCCATTAATTATGAATCCACCAAACAGATTGATCCATTGATGAGATTAGAGCCCTCATGATCCAATCATCTTCAAAAGACTCACATGTAAACACTRTTGCCTTGGAGATCAAGCCTTCAATCTATGAGCTTTTGCGGGGCAGGGGGGCAGGGCATATCAGATCCAACCCATACAGTACTATTATTTTCCTATAAGACTTTCAGTAGCATTCTAAAATTTTGACGTTAAATTTTCATTGTAAATCAATTCAAAATATTTTTAAATTTCTTTTATGATTTCTTCTTTAAGTCATGAGTTGAYTTATGGGAAAATATTTGTTTGATTTAGATTTTTGGAGCTAATCTAGATGTTTTATTTTTGTTGATTTCTGTTTCTGTTCTAGCTCTTGATGAGAAAAAAACACTGTTTTTAAAAGACAAGAAAACATAAGCAAATTTTTTTACTATTATATTTTTACTTTTTAAGGTATTTGGAATTAAACCAAGGGRAGCTCTACCTCTGAGCTACATCCCCAGCCTCCTCTTTTTTTARATTAATTTATTTAATTTTTATTTCAATTTGTTATATATGACAGTAGAATGCTTTACAATTCATATTAYACATATAGAGCACAATTTTTCATATCTCTGGTTGTATACAAAGTATATTCACCCCATTCATGTCTTTATACATATACTTAGGGTAATGATGTCTGTCTCGTTCCACCATCTTTTCTACGCCCAGCCTCCTCCCTTCCCCTCCTACCTGTTTGCCCTATCTAGAGTTCATCTAATCCTCCCATGCTATGCCTCCCAATCCCACCATGAATCAGCCTTCTTATATCAGAGAAAACATTCAGCATTTGGTTTGGGGGGATTGGCTAACGTCACTTAGCATTATATTCTCCAATTCCATCCATTTACCTGCAAATGCCATGATTTTATTYTCTTTTATTGCTGAGTAACATTCCGCTGTGYACCACAGTTTCTTTATCCATTCATCCACTGAAGGGCATCTAGGTTGGTTCCACAATTTAGCCATTGTGAATTGTGCTGCTRTAAACATTGATGTGGYTGTGTCCCTGAGGTATGCTGTTTTTAACTCCTTTGGGTATATACCGAGGAGTTCGATAGCTGGGTCAAAAATGGTGGTTCRATTCGCAGTTTTCCAAGGAATCTCCATACTGCTTTCCAGATTAGCTGCACTAACTTGCAGTCCCACCAGCCTTTTCCCCCACGTCCTCTCCAACACTTTTGGTTATTTGTATTGTTAACAGCTGCCATTCTGACTGGAGTGAGATGAAATCTTAGAGTAGTTTTGATTTGCATTTCTCTAATTGCTAGAGATGTTGGACATTTTTTCAAATATTTTTTGATTGATTGTATATCCTGCTCTGAGAAGTKTCTTGGCTCATTTATTGATTKAGTTATTTATTTTTTTGTTTTGTTTTGTTTTTTGATGTTAAGGTTTTAAGTGCTTTATATATCCTAGAGATTAGTGCTCTATCTGATGTGCTTGAGGTAAAAATTTGCTCCCATTCTGTAGGCTCTCTATTCACCTAACTTATTATTTCTTTTGCTGAGAAGAAGCTTTTTAGTTTGAATCCATCCCATTTATTGATTCTTGGTTTTAAGTTTTTCACTATAGGAGTCTTATTAAGGAAGCTCGGGCCTAATCCGACATGATGGAGTTTGGGGCCTACTTTTTCTTTCATTAGGTACAAGATCTCTGATTTAATTCCTAGGTCCTTGATCCACTTTGAGTTGAGTTTTGTGCATGGTGAGAGATAGAGGTTTAATTTAATTTTGTTACATGTGGATTTCCAGTTTTCCCAGCACCATTTGTTGAAGAGGCTATCTTTTCTCCAATATATGTTTTTTGGTGCCTTTGTCTAATATGAGATAACTGTAATTATGTGGGTTTGTCTCTGTATCCTCTATTCTGTACCATTGGTCTACAGATGCCAATACCATACTGTTTTTGTTACAGTTGCTCTGTARTAGAGTTTAAGGTCTGGAATAGTGATGCCACCAGCTTCACTCTTCTTGCCAAGGACTGCTTTGGCTATTCTGGGTCTCTTATTTTTCCAGATAAATTTCATGATTGCTTTTTCTATTTCTATGAGCAATGTCATTGGGATTTCGATTGGGATTGCATTGAATCTGTATAGTACTTTTGGTAGTAGGGTCATTTTGACAATATTATTCCTGCCTATCCAAGAACAAGATAGATCGTTCCATCTTCCAAGCTCTTCTTTAATTTATTTCTTTGGCATTCTGTAGTTTTCATTGTAGAGGTCTTTCACCTCTTTTGTTAAGTTCATTCCCAAGTATTTTATTTTTTTGAGGCTATTATAAACAGGGTGATTTTCCTAGTTTCTCTTTCTGAGGATTCGTCACTGATTTACAGAAATGCCTTTGATTTATGGGTGTTGATTTTATATCCTGCTACTTTGCTGAATTCATTTATTAGTCCTAGAAGGTTTCTGGTGGAATTTTTTGGGTTCCAGCACTCTCTTTTAMACMTTTTTTTGGAGACAGGATCTCACTAAATTCCACAGCTTGAACTAAGCAATGCTTCTGCCTCAGCCTCTTAAATTGCCAAGATTACAGGTATTCACCACCATGACTGGCACTATCTTATTTTTATATCTTTTCAAAATTTTCAGCTATTATATGTGAACTTCTATCTTCTTCTTTAAGCTTGGCTTAGCTTAATTTGGCTAACCAAAAATAAGTGGGAAGTGTTTAGCAATTCCAAAATAAATTTAAAGTTGGGAAATATTTTTATTTAATAAGTCATAACTCAATCCAAAGCTTAATGGATCTGTCTTTATTTTCATATATTTATTTTATGAGATGCATTTCTGCCATCACTTACAGTAAAAATAAAAGAAGAAAATTTCTATTCAATTGTGCCAGTAATCCAAACAGTTTATTAAAGTTAGTTTTCTCACATGGGTACAGTTATTTTAATTGTTACATTAATGTCCAAAGTCTGTTCTCTAAGACAGTATTGAAGTTCTTTTGGACTATTTTATATAGTAAAACTCTTTCCTCTGAATATGCAGCAAAAATATTTGTTCCAGTGTTTATTTCTTCAAGGAATGAACAGTTGCTATGCTAAACACCTTCCATGTTCAATCTTAAGAAAAATTTTATTTTCTTTTGTCCAATAGTATTCATCTGAACATATTTTATCACATGCTATCTTCTATAGTATTTTTTCCTTAATTTACTGTTGCTCTTACAGTTTTAAAAATAAACCAAAATGGATTTTTGTTGAAGCTGAAAATTGTAGATAACCACTTCATTCGTTTCGTAGCTAGATAACACCAACATTGACTTTGGCCCAATTTATATGCCATTTGTTGGGACAAAGGATCAATTTAGCATAGCTCTGTGAGAAGTAAATTTGGCCACTAGAGACATCAAAACATATATTGAGCTTATGAAAAGATAAATTTCAGGATTTGTGAAATAATCAGAATAGGATGGGTTTGTATTAGGAAGGATCATGATCTAACCAAGGTCTATATAGGATACTGTCCACAGCATTGTTCAGACAATAAATGAATGTCTTTGCTATTTGAAAGTAATAGGATTTCAAAACAGAGTTCACAAAATACTACCAGACCCTCAGACTTGAACTTCTGGACAGCATAYATACTTTAACCTGTCAAAAACCTAGTTCATTTATTCCAGAAAAGTTTCATTTCAGGAAAATTAGGTTAATATAAAACACATACCAAAAATKCTTATAGCAATTTATTGAATTAACCCCAAACTGCAAACAACCCAAATTTCCTTCAACAGGTGMATGATAAATGAACGGTGATACATCCATATCATAGAATATTATGAATTATTGATAGATGGACAACTTGAATGGGACTCAGAATTATACAAAGTGGAAAAAGCCAATCCCAAAAGGCTCTCTACTGTATGTTTTCATTTACATAACATTCTTGAAATGACAGAATTGTAGAAATGTGGAACAGATTAGTGGATGTCAAGAGAGAAAGGGAGGATGGGGACACAGGGAAATAAGTGTAGCTATGAAAGGCTTTCTTTGTGGAAATAAAAAAATGTTCTGTATCTTAACTAAATCAATRTCAATATTCTGGTTGTGACATTATATACAATAGCACACCTTGTTTTAGAAGATGTTACCATTGGGGGAGATTGATTTGTGGGTATAAGGGATTTTTTATATTATTTCTTATAAATTGCATGTGAATCCACATTATCTCATAATGAAATTTAATTTAAAAAAAAAAAACTATTCCTTGCTTCCAATTCCCTTCTGATATCCAATGCTACAATTAACAGTACACCAATCTTTTTACTAACTGTGGATCTCCAAGGATAATGCTCTAGCCTCTATTTTAGAAGGGAGGAATATTCAAYAGATGTAGTTAGATTACTGCACAGGCTGCTCATTCCAAGAAAATTAGAATATTGTATTTTTTTTCTTGATGATTTGCTTTCTTCTTTATAAAAAGCTTCATGTTGAAACAATAGTGTGCCACTGATTTACTTGGGACCCATTCTTTTCCATGGTTTCCCCAGCTTTTAATCAGTCTTCAATGGATAAATAAATAAACCATACTGTTATGACCCTTTTTAATGTTTATTTTTCTGTGCTCCACGATAAATTATATTTATTCATACATTTCTACTTAAGTTTTGTTACAGAGCCCTGACAGGAAGTTAAAGTTGTGTTTACTAAATATCATTGCAACTTAGTGGCCCCTAAAGTCCACATGAGTAGGCAAGCTGTAGTCCTCACCTGCAGCTCACCCATTATTCTCTGTACACCAGTTTTCCTTTTGTGTATAAAATGAAAAGTTTTGATTACATTGTCTCCATAGTACCCGTTAAGGTCTAAAAATTTGATTTTGTAATCCTAGAGAATTTATAACCAGTCCTATAGGATTAAAAACCATAAGAGCCAAAATTTCAGAGAAAATGTATTCAGGTCTATGTTTGTTCTCTATGAAAAAAAAAATTTCCAGAGATGCACAATAATGAATGTTGAACATGAACTCCCCTCTCTATTGCCAAGCTGAGAATAAAGTAAAGATTTGGGTAGGGAAGCTGGCAAGGCCTTTGGGAATGGAACTCATGATCTCTGAGATTCTATCTGATGAAAGCAACACACCATGTCCTGTGCTCTTCTCCCCACTATATCCCCAGGTTTGAGCATAACATGATTTAATCAAATCAAGCAGGAAAAGAGAACACAGCATAATGACAAGAACAGGGCATGATGACAAGCCAATTTGAATAAGTGATTTTTGAGGTGTCAGCACAGCATAGCTGAGCCCTACACTTCTTACTTAACAGTTACATATTAAGGACATGCAAAGGGACTATAAATTTACAATCTAATAACATTTTGTGGGTTGCCCATTTTGAAATGCCCTTCTCCCACCCTAGAAAACAATGCACCCAAATTAACTTTGACCACAAGCATTGGAGATGTTTTCCAATTGTCTGTGGTATACAACCCAAACAGTTTATCATAATTTTCAAGATGAAGCAATACAGACATACTGACTTTAAGTTATTTGCTTTGGGTCATAATTTAACACAATAAGTTKTACTTTCTACCTTGGGAAGAGATTACCCCCAAGGAGGAGAAAAACCAGTAACCTTTAAATTTCCTAGAGACTGTAGTAATTATTGGATATCCCTAAAATGGCATTTGGGACTCACCCTTGCATTCTCTACTCTAGAACTCAATCATGCTTCATTTTGTTCTGGCTCTAAACCTGGTCTGGTGAGAGGTCTGATTGCATTCATAGGAAACTGAAAAAAATACCTAGGAAAAAGGAATATACAATGACTGCTTTCTATTCTGAAGTCTTAAACCAGAAACAGTATTTCTTTACAACTGGACATCTATCACAGAGGATTCTAGAAATTTACACACACACACACACACACACACACAGAGAGAGAGAGAGAGAGAGAGAGAGAGAGAGAGAGAGAGAGAATCTCACTTTGCAATATGACTTAAAGCAAGGATTATATAATCTTTAAACACAGAAACATACACACACAGGATGGATGGATGGATGGATGGATGGATGGATGGATGGATGGATGGATGGATGGATAGAATGATAGGTAAATGGACAGATGGATGCATAATATTCAATTACTCCTCTCAAGAATGCTCTCTGCTATGCCTCCTGGTGTCCAAGGATGAGGTGCTATAAAATAGTTGATCTCTGAATAGGAACAAATGTTTCAAATCCTCCACTAATTCCTTCAGTCATTTTGTTGAACTTCACTTCCAGTGTTTTTCCTTGTAGACAAATATCTTTTGAAATAAATTGAAAGCCACCTGCTTTGTCTGATGACAGTGCAGTGTACACTAGTGAAACATTCCTCCCCTGGGCCATCAGTAGCAATTAACACAGCACTCCATATTTCAGAGTATCCCACCCTCCGCAGATCATTCTGCCCATTCATAACTGGGAACCGGAAATGGAGCCCCACAAAGAAGATGAAGTTGGACCATTGGTGGAGCATATTTATGAGGTAGGTTTTTTTTTTCCCCTTTGCACTGGGAATTGAACCCAAGGATGCTTTATCATTGAGCTTCATTCCCAGAGATTTTGTTTTTTTGAGACAGGATCTCAATAAGTTGTTGAGGACCTCAYTAAATTGCTGAGGCTAACCTCAAATTTAGATCCTCCTATGTCAGCCTCCCGAGTTTCTGGGATTACATGCATATGCCACTGTACCCAGCTGGGTAACAATTTTCTATTAGCTGTTTTCTAAAGTGTGGCCCTAAGCTCATCTGATAGTGAAGTTGTATTAGGGTTTTATTTTTATGTTCTTTATTAACAAACATACAGCATTTTAAAAGACACCAATCCAAGTTTTGAGCTTTATATACTATTTAGATTCATGCTTTTATGCTATCACATTTCAGTGGGTGGTGGGAGATGTTCTGGGCACTCACAAACATGGTCACTTCTCCTTGGTGGTGAGAGCCATTACATGGTAAAAAATATTTTATCTTSTTACTGTTTTTCTTTATTTAATTGCTCTTTGTTTGCTCTCTTTTTAATATTTGAATAGCCTATACATAAAAATGTCTAACTCCCTAGACTCTCTTTCATTTCAGATAACCTTAAAACCCACCCATTGATGGTCGCCAATTAGAAGGTGCCAGATAGAAAACTTTATTAATTTTTCTTGTACTAAAAAAATGTACATGAGATATAATACATGAGATGGGTGTGTCGCAGACATCTAAGAATAAATTTATTTTTCATTCAAATAACCTGATTAGAAATTAACAACTTATTTTGAAGTTTTAAGTAGTCTGTTGATTAGTAAAATATTTTCCAGAAGCAAATAAGCAAAACATGAAAAGAACCTGATGTTCTTTTCCCATTTTAAGTCTTACATTGTGAACAAAGTAAAGATTTATTGACATGGAGCTATTTAATTTTTTTTTTTTTTTTACAATTAGAAACCAACACATAGTAAAGGGTTAGTTTATTCATTGTTCAGCTTTTTGGTTTGGTTTGTTAATAAAGTTAAGGCAATTAGTGGAGAGTAGTTATTCCTTTTCAAGARTATAGAAAGTGAATTTTGATAAAATGAAGTTCTAAGATGTTTTCTGATTGAGGTACCTTCTCGAGAGTGGTAATGCCTTATGTTCTTTTCCTATGTAACTTATGCCATCAATTCAATGATTCTAGCTTTGACTTTCATCTCAAGCTACAGGGTCACGAATAGCATTCTCTCAGGGCAACTATAAAGCCATTTCCAAACTGAAGAGCTGTTTCCATAAGTGGGGGGAAAGCCTCAAGTCCTGAGTAGGATTAGCCTGGAAACCTCTATTATCTGCCCAAACTGCAGCTCAGGTTTGCAAGCCCTGTCCAGAGCTGGATCAAAGTGTGGCCCTAAGCTCATCTGATAGTGAAGGGATAACCCCGTCCCAGTGGCATTCAGATCAAGAACCTCACCAAAAAAATGAAAAGYTGTCAAATAATTTATTAAATTTGTGTGTGCCTGTTTCTGCTCAAGAAAGTTGAAACTTTATAGTTTGCAAAAAACACTCAGACTCAATCATTCCCAGGGTAGTGCTGTTTCTGATCTTAGCATAAAGAGATCATAAAAGTTTAGGGTAATTACCAGCAGTGCCAAAAGCAATCATCAAATGTTTCTTACATGCTAATCTCATGTCTCATAATATACGGTACCAATGAATGCCATACTTCTTTGATAATGTCAGCTAAATAGGCCACCTAAATAAGCAAAAAAAAAAAATTCTTGTTTCATAGAGCATGATAATTATCAGAACTGTGGGGCTGAGGGGGGAAGATCCTTGTTAACTTTGAAGTGAATTTCTAAGTCCATGATAAATCTAAATATGCTTAGTGTTTTTGGCAAGCTATTTTGTGTACTGTGAATATGGGATTTGTGTGTTAACAACATCCATCTCTTTACTCAATGTGGCCTTTTTTTCCTTGGGATTTGCTGATTAAAACAAAAGTAGCTCAGCTTTGAAATGTGCAAAATGAACTGTAGTGAACACCGGCTGGCTTTTGCCCTTGATGGATAACCATTTTCCAGAGAGTAAAAGAGAGTGCATCACATATGGTTGCAATTGACAAGTAGTCAGGGAACAAAAGGCAGATTTCAAATATAAAGAAAAAATCAGTARGTTTTGAAAGCATTTAATTATAATTGCATTTCTAGTACTAATAATACAAATTCAAGGTAACCATTGCAATTATCAGACATGGTTAATATAGGTTGGGCTGGGCAAATATAGGTTGGGCATGCCTATTCTGAAAATCAAAAATGTTTTCCAAAAWCCTAAACTTTTTAAGACCTGACATGATATCACAAGTAGAGAATATCATACTTGACCTCATGTGATGGGTCACAATGAAAGATTACGTTTAGGTTTCAGGTGAATACGAATTATCAATGAATTTTGTGTCTAGAGTTCAGTCTCATCCCCAAGATATCCCATTATATAAGTGCAACATTCCAAAATCCCAAACACTTCTGGTCCCAAGCATTTTGGGTAAAAGATGTTCAATCTGTATGATCTTCAGTGAAGAAATCCACTTTCAGAGCTTCACAGACCAGACCAAAGAGTTTTTTCTAAACACTATCACATCACGCTTTCAGAGTTCCTGATTCCAATATGGACTTTTTTCTTCTTTTTCATATTTGCTAGAGTTATTATCATGATGACTTACAACCAATAGCACATAGGTACAGGTCGACGGAGTTGGATTTCATATCCCCACCTTGAACTGTACCATTCCATAATCTGTCACTTGCTTACAGCTGCACAATATTGGACCAAGTACCATCAGTGACACCATTCTGGAGGTGGGCTGGCCATTCTCTGCACGGGATGAGTTTCTCCTTTATATTTTTCATATTCAAACTCTGGGACCTCTTCGGTGTCAAACAAGTCCTGATATCAACCCACAAGATATAAAGGTAAGAGTCTGGTCTAATCATAGCTTTATATACTTTTTATAGTAAGGAAAAAGTAAAAATGGCTGATTGTTTAAAATTAAAATAGCACAGTAATTTTATGTTKCCTCAATGATCATTGATCAGAGCTTTCCTTTTTAGTTTTCCAATTAAGCACCAAATTTAAATGTCACTCCTAAAAAACTTAAATTTTCCTAGGTTTTATTGCTCATAGTAACTTGTGATTATTTAGCCCATTTCAATATGCATCTTTTATGTAGGGTTTGATGAGCAGCATCACCAAATCAAAATCATTAATAGATATGTAATGTTTTGGAGAATTAGTAAAAAATTCTATTTTTGAAGTCTTTTTGGTATATTTCCATAAGACACAAGCATCTTTGCCAGAAAGGGCTCTTCCAGCTGTTGCCAATAGCAAGTGGTAAAATGCAAGAATTTGCCAAAGGCTTCTCTACTCCCTGAAAACCCCCAGACTGGAAGCTTATGGAGAAACCTAAAGCAGCAGTGTGCTGCATCTCTTAAATGCTTCCAAATCACCTGGGGATCTACYGAAATGCAGGGTCTGGAGGACCCTCACATTCCACCTCTCTGCAAGCTCCCACCTCCTGTGCACGTGATGGTCTGCTGGAGTTCATTAACAAGGAGCTCAAGTGTCCAAAGAGCTGATCCCATCCAGATTAAGATCCAAATTTGGCTTAGGTTCCTTTTGGGAAGGAAAGAAACGAATTAGCATAAGCCCTAGAAAATGTCACATTTGTATGAAAACAAACAAAACAAAAAAATTGGTTAATCAGATGGTGTCCTCAGAAGACAATGTTATTTAAGAGCAAATATTCCCTTAGTAGCTACAGGAACACAGTAACTATGGGGCAAGGGCAGGTTTCCTGAAGTATTTGACTTAACCATCTGGGGCAAAGGGTAGCTTTGACCCTGGGCCCAGGCATTGGGTCACTGGGAGTCATAATAGGCTTTCTGTGTCAACCCATATGCCTCCTTATTCAAAGACAGGAAGACAAAAAGGAGACTCAATGGTAAAGGACTTGTGGGGCAACAGTCTATTTCTTCATGGAGAAACAATAAATAAGGCCACTGGTATTCCATAAAGTTATTTAAAATACTTGCTCCCTAGGATTCCCCCCTCCCCATTTCCTCTTTCTTCACTCTTCATTGGGATAATTTTAACATCCTAAGAGACTGTAGCTCCTTATACAATAATGTCTTCAAATATTGATGTATAACATTGAAGTATTTCAAACTTTTTCATATTCTTCTTTTTAAATTAAAATTTTTATTTGTTTTAATGACCTTGACATATCATACATTTGAATCAGATGGGATATAATTTCTCATTTTTCTGAGTGTACAGGTTGCAGAATCATATTGGTCATGTAGTCACGTATATACACACAGTAATAATAATGTCTGTTTCATTYTACTATTGCATATTCTATTCTGTATTTTTCATGTAGTATATTTTGTCATGGATTCTTAAAGCACATGATAATGCGGAAAACTTCTCTCTCTGAGTGCAATGTTTAGTTTATATCTGACACTATTTATATATGTTTGTATATATTGTGTAACTTGTTTAATGTTCACTATATTGGTTTGAGTTATTTTTTTTTCTTTGTGGCAATTAAACAATCATTTACAGTGACTGGAATAGTACTAATAGATAACTTGCTCAAATGTTGACAGATTCATGAAAACCAAGTGGTAGTATACACTAAGCACCTGGTATCCAGGACTTCCCACTTATTCTGTACATACTCATTGATTTTCATTAAGAACCTGTCCATAGCTAGAAATTTTTTTAAAATGCAACTTCTGCTCATTTTCTAAAGTTCTAAACTCCTAAAAATGAATATAATATTTGGTAACAAAATTGCAACAGATCTCTAAAGTAACTAATTAGAATAATATATGAATTCTTAAAATTCTGAATTCAAGAAAAGGTTGAAACAACATTACTTAAAGGTTCTCAAAGTATGTCTACCTATATTTAATATATGCCCTGAAAGTCTAAAAGACTTTTTATCAATAAATAGAAAATAAAGTGGATAACCAGCATATTTCAAACCAATGGCTATAAACAATTGAAAACATTTGAAAATTTTTTTCTCTTAAGATATTAAATAATTTCTTGGTCAAATTGCTACTAATTCACTTGGCAATTTATTTCTTCCTAGAGAATGGAAAGATAAACTGTATTTTCTGTCTTAAATACAAAGTAGAAATTAGTGAAAAGGAAATTGTAGTTATATATATGTTCTTATATATGTTCTGAAGTTATATATATGTTCTTATCTTCAGCACAATAGGCATCAGACATTTCTGATTTTTTAAAATAATTTTTTATAACTTTATTTTATTTATTTATTTATTTTTATGTGGTGCTGAGGAAAAAAAAAAAAAAACCCAGCACCTCACTAGGCAAGTGGTCTACCACTGAGCCACAACCCCTGCCTGACATTTCTGATTAATATCAATTTTAAATTCTTGCATCAAAGCTAATTGCTGGTTTGTTTTTATTTGTTTGTTTGTTCTGTTTTTTTAACATGGTATAGAAAGTTTTGTTTTTTGGTAAGAAGCAGAGAAAGCAGGTTTAGTAAAAGGACCAGGGAGGCAGAATTATACTTGTTAAAGCAAGAATCAAATCCCAATATTCAGGCTTGATTCACCCAGGAGTAAGTTACAATTCCTCCTACTTATGCTATGGAGCGAGTGTGTTCTGTCCCCTCCAAAACTCATGACAAAATTTGGTCCTCAGGGTAATGGTGTTGAGAGGTTGTGGGGCTTTCATGAGGACTTTGATTCACAGGAGCTCTGCCGGCATGAAAGGGATGAATGCTGTTCTTTCAAGTTAGTTCTCCGTAAGGGGTCCCCTAATGTGGCCRTAAGCCGTTAGTAGAAGCGGTTCCTCCACTTGCTCTCGCTTCCTCTCTCCATGGGACTCCTTCCATTCTTYCTCCATGAAGCTGCACAGGTGCTGGCTCCGTGCTCTTGGACACCCCAGCCTCCAGAGCATGAGCTAAAATAAATTTTCTTTTATAAACTCTCCAATCACAGTTATTCTCTTTTAGCAATAAAACGGACTAAGACCATTTGCTGTACAGTTTCTTTATAAGGAGAAGGACAGGTGGTAAGTGCTTCTGACACATCTGTGTTTGCAAACAGTCCAGTTTCCACACATCCTTCTGCCTCCTGAGGATGTTCCACACACACTGGACCAACCCTCCAGATGTTCCATGGCCTGACATAGAGAACCTTCATAGAGAAGCCAAGGGATTTTCACAATTCTCTCACCACATTCTCCTCCTCAGCCACTCAGTTGATTTCCCTTCAACCAAATCCCTTTCTCCAATGTTAGACACGCATCTTAGCCAATTTTGTCTTAGCCAATTTCTTTCTCCCATGTATATTCTTACTTTTGCTCAATTATTACTGAAAAGAGACCTCTCCTCTCAGCCCTTTCACAGATTTCTAAAAAAATCTTATCATAAAAAAGAAACTATCCAGATTTTCTTAGAAGCATCTTCTAGGCCACCCACTTCAAGGAACCAGTGCCACCAATCTAAAACCTTTGAAATGTCCCAGATATCGCTTAGAATCTCTACAAAGCTTCCGCAGACTTTCTCATTTTCCTCCGATTAAACTTATTTCCACCTAAATATCAGCATTCAATATCATATACTTAACACAATGAGTTTTTTTTACCCTATTTTTTAAATTATCCATATGGCCACAGTCCTGGATACTATTATTTTTATTGCAAATACACAGTTTTATGGCATCAAAACCATATTGAGGCTTAAGTAGGCTTTTTGTGGACTGGCTTGAGAACTGAACTACCATTCGAAACATCATTTCTAAAGAGAAATGCATTCTGAATGCCAAACATCCAGCCCAAAGCTTTCTGAAATCCAACCCATCTACAAACTGAAGAAGTGTTCCAAATGCAACATGAGGCTCAAAGTCTTCTCACATAAGCCTCAAAGTCCAATAAGCCCCTAACAGAGTTCAGTTTTTATAACAGTAACTGGTAGAGTTTGGTTATCCCCCAAATTACCCAAATGTCCCCCAAGTTTGAGGAAGAAACACTAACAGCATGAACTTTCTAACCTGTGACTGCTTTAGGAAACAATGGGCCAACTTATCAGCTCACCCACACCTTGGCTGCTCAAGTTGGAAGCATCAGTCACTGAGTTGGGGTGGGGCAAGAGTGACCACACACAGATGCTGTTAGAAGTCTGTGTACTTTTTTTTATTTGAATGCCTGCCCCCCAGCAGGCTTCGGTGAGACTCATTCAACTTGATTTGCTGACACTGTTCAAATCTCAGAGTCTGAGGTAGGTAGAAATATGGGTGATAATGGGGTTCAGGAGAAGATGAGCTATGCACACCCTCATTTTCCTATCTGAGAAAACCAAGACCCAGCCAATGTCCGCATGGTGGTCCAGAAGTGCCTTGGGCTCACTCCCTCCTGCTTTCACGCTGGCCTTCTGTGACATGGTTGCTGCCCTTAGGTTTCTGTTCCCCCAGGATGGCTTCCACCTCCTCAGATTCATTCACCCRCCGTCTGTGACGTTAGGGACATTAGCAGACATCCATGCAGGTTCTGCCTCCAGCCTTCACCATCTTAGGTCAGAGGAAGAAGACTGTCATGTGGCAATTTCTTCAGATTCTACCATTCAAAACATTCTGAAACATTCAACTGTCTGCAGCATTCAGACCAATCCATTAAATCTAATTTGTTCCAGATCCTTCTTGGAATCAGATTTTAGAGTTGAGTAAAGTATTTCTCAACTATACTCAAGGCAGTAAAATAATTATTTCAAACTATCAATTTTGTTATTTTGGTGGACTTTATCCTGGGGTTTGGAGAGGCCTTCAAACACACTATGATCTTTTTGATAAGATGAAAATGTAAAATCTACTAAGGAACCAAAAATTTCATAAAGAGTAAAGGGATTTTTTTTTTCAATTTGGCAAGATTTTGTAAT